GCTCCGACCGCCTCCGTATTTTGCTCAAACTGCAAAATGAAATCAACGGAACATTGCTATTATTAAGTTAAACATAATTTTTCGAATTAATACCCCTAAACGCAAGAAGCACTTTCTCGGGAATAAGACGTATTATCTGGAGGAGAATCAAAAAAAGAATGTGTGTGTGTGTGGAGAGTATGTGTGTGTGTGTGGGGGGGGGGGGGGATATTGTAGAAACATATTTTGTTGCAAAGGTTCCTGTGCCGCCCGCATCTTCAGCACAGACCAGAAAGCCTGGCTCCGGAAGCTTCATTTGCAAAAACACTCTGGCCAGAAAGCGCGTTGTCATGGTACCAAACGCTCGCGGCTTTCTTGACGACGCTGCACCAACCAAAAATAATTCATACCTCTCAAATAAATGGCGTGCGCTGAGCGACAATCTCCTGCAGCGTGCATTTTTCACCACCAAATTTTATTCTTTCAGCAAAAAAAAATCGCGATGACCACCAGCATATGCTTCAGTCACTTAACGTGCAAATTATGTAAAGCAGTTCAGTTTTCTGGTGAAATGCGATGTTCGCAACACTAGAAAAGGTTGTGCAGTATATATTAGCAGTATGAAGATGATATACGACAGCCTAATAAAATGTTGAACCGAATGACTCATCAAGCACTGAGTTGTAAATTGAGGTCTTGAAACAAGGGCATGTAAAACCGAATATACCATCAGCCTCCCGAGGCAGTACTTAGCGAAGTTTCGAATTCATGCACGGTGGTGCCCAAATGTGATTTATGTAAGGATTACAAGAATCTTCGCCTGTTTTTCGTGTAAGTTATGTGTGAGTAAGAATATAATTACATCGCTATGCAGTGCTTTTTGCAGTAAATCATTGTTTATCGGATTCGTTTGAAGAATACCCATGCATTACCTTCCTCTTTCTGCGCATTTCGTGTATTTGCCTTCAGATATTTCATTTGACATATATTTATTTTGGCATACCCGGGGTCTCACACCGCGAAACAGCAAACGAAAAAACCTGTTTCCTCAGACAATGTTACCAGCTGGCGTATTTTCGAGGATCGCAGTCCTGTGTCGCTGTCAAGTAGTTATGTGAACTACGCGCAAACAAATTTATTGATGGTAATAAAAATATATTTAATTATAGGCTGAAAATTTGTCAACATGAATAAAGAGCTGATCACCTTAAAAGTATACATCTAAAGTAAGTGCACCCACTAATTATCTCAAATGTAGTTTGCAAATCGTCTACCGCGTTTTAATCCTTGATCGACGTGTCTAGGTGATTTGGGAGAGCCTTAAGCAAATTTTTTATTTTGGAACAGACTTAAGTAACTATGTGTTTCTAACACATTATATATCAAACATTGAAATATGTTATTGCACTTCCACCGGAACTTACTGTGTTTTTTTTTCTTCTTTTTCGGACGTCAACGGAAGACATTTAGGAAGAAGCCTGTGAAACGTGGGAGGTGTGTGGTTACCAGATGCTAGTCGATTCGGTAACAATTAAAACGATTAGTCAAGTAGACCTGAAAGTTCCATGTCTTTATTTCACAGGATCGATACTAGTGGAATAATTTGCACAGCTGTAAACAAAAGTAATCAGACCAAATAGGAAGAACCGAGTTCTTTGTCGCAAAAGAAAATATCTTTCATGGTGATCAAAATTCCGCTGGGTAAATTCCTAGATGGACGGTAGTTCAACTAATAAAGTCTAGCAGGTGCACCGCACGGACACACGCACACAAACTGTCAGTAGCACGTTTAGCGAAAATCGCGAATCCGCAAGCAAAATCTGCCGCCGTTGAGAAATCCTGAGCACAGTCAGGGTGTCGTCTCTGATGCGGTCACAGCGGTGACTCGGGCGTCTTTTTCGCTCGCTGGATGCTTCTGAAGCCGGACGGACGAAGAGTCACAAGCAACGGGGCACTGAAATATATTTTTTCCTTATCCGCACACCCAGCTTCTCTGAAAGATACAGGTAGCACAAATGGAACGGGAAGACGACACTGAGCGTCCGTTCGTTGCCGTGCGTTCAGTTGGCGCTCGTTGACGAAACAAAAAATGGTTTTCTTCAAAAGAAACAACAGAAAGACCCCCTCACGTTTTCCACACGCACCCATCGCGAGGGAGAGAATGCGTGGGGACGCGCCCGTAATTACACGCCCAGTCCCCGGCTCGTCTCGGCTTTAGTCGTTCTTCTCGTGTAGGCTTACAGTGAAGTTCGATAAACGGGAAAACGAGTGACAGCCAGTCCAACTTCCAGCGAAATCTGGTAAACGAGAGTGGTTGCCGGTAAAAATTCCAGCGAAATTCGGTAACCGAGAGTAGCTGCCGTTGAAACTTACAACAAAATCTGGTAACCGCGAGTGGCTGCCGGCCAAGCTTTCAGCAAAGACTGATAAACTACGCTGGTTTCGGACGAAAACGGGTCAAATTTTACCAGTTTTCACCGGATGTCACTGGAAGTTTTTCCCAGATTTTTTTAATGAGGGGTGCAGAGGCCCCTGAGAATTTATAAAATATTGTGCAAACAATTGTGAGTATGGTAATTAAAACACAGGGTTTTCTAACTATAACAAATTTGTTAAAAACAAAAGCCGTGAAAGGCTACACTTATGCAGTTTCTGCAGGTGAGGTATACGGCCAGGAGGTACGGTAAAGGGGGCTAATCGTAACGATCTATCGGCTAATAAGGTAAAATTTGTTCATTCACTCTTACATTGTGATGTTCTTCCAATTATAAACTTGCTCCTAAACCATTAAATCGATATTTTTCTAGATATGCTAGGAGCCGGTGGCGAGCGTGGTGTTGCCCCAAACGTACTGCTCGTGCAGCAGCACCAAGGCTGGAGCTTTAATAAGAGATGGAAAACTCACGCCGGCGCGTTATCGCACAGATAGCCTTATACTCCTGCTGCATGATGTTAAATTTTAACCTATTACTTCGTTTCTCATGGGTTCAATCTTTCTAAAAATTACTGATTGAGAGGTTTTTTATGAAGCTCACCAAGCGTCTAATTTTAACCATATGTCTATTTTCACTAACAGAAAAGTTACTAAAAAAACTTTATTTATTAACAAACTGATCGTTACCATCAGCCTTTTATACAATGTCCCCCTCGATGCATTAATCACTTGCACAAACCGCATAATTGTAACCGTCAAGGCCTTTTTTAAACCAAAATGTTAAGCCTAAAAAAACAGTATATTTCTCAACAAGCTATGTAGGTAATCACGACATTGAAATGTTTTTTGAATCTCGTTCAATAATATTTAACTGCCATCAAACCTTCGCCAACATATCTACGAAAGCTTTCATATTCGAGATGTTGGCTATAAATGCACAATATTGGGCTGACGTAACTAAGGGCGGACACACAGTATTAAAACTATGTGCTAAGATCGAGGTTGTGAGGAATATAGGACCATTGTTAATAAAGGTGCAATTCTTAACCTGATCCTAGCATTATCCTTGACCCAACCTCGTTAGTGTAAGCACGGCAAAGTAGGATGATCATCTCAAAAGGTTGTAAATATTTAAAGCAATTTAGAGCCCGTCAATGTTCTAGTACTAGACATGGCCACTAATCCGTTACTTGGAAAAGATATCTTGCCAATGATCCCGTAACACCAGTAATTTGCTAAGGGGTTACTGAATAAGTAATCCTTTAGAAAGCACTACGTGAGTTCTCCTTTCAAAGTAACTAATTACTTTTTTTGAGCGTCGAATACAAATGTTAAACCGTATATACGCCATTACTTAACCGATTAATTAATTAATATATAATGGTTCTTGTTCATTTCTATGCATCATTTGTGTACAACGCAAAATTTACTTTTGTTTTTGCCTTTGTGCCATATACAATTTCGTTTATGAGTCCGTATCGATGTGTAGTTGACAACTGTTCAAAAATACTCACTTTTACAGATCCTTATTTCAGCTGCATGAGCCAAAGGGGTTTGTAGATGTTCTTCGGCAAGAGTGGTCTCCTTTGATTCTTCACAATATTCTTTGCTGATCTGAACGAACACTCGCGCGGCGTTGAAGTAGCAAGGACAGGTGTAACATTCTGCGCTTGTCCGGAGTTACAAATCACACCCCTACAGTTTACTTTAGACTAAAATTTTTACGTAACGTTTGCCCTTCATACGGGTGTACTTTTTCGTACACGCCTGCGTAGTGAAAGCGTTTAATTTTTACATCATTCTCGTTCGTCAAGATTTTACAGATTAAAACCTTTTACAAAAATCAATCACGATTAAAGCATTAAATGATTAATCAGTAGTTTAGTCCCTCAACGGTCCAGAACTACTTTTTGTGCCATTCTGTAAATACTACGTGACGTGTTGAAGTAGTAAAACAACCGGATATAAAAATGTAAGAAAAGATCAGGTCTAGCTTAGTGGTTACGTGACCACTTCGCACGCAGTGAACTCAGATTCCATTCCCGCGGGCGGCGGGCGATATTTTTCTAGGAGTTGGCAACCTCGACGATGGACGCCCTACATCGTCAACTACAACATCAAAAACGACAGTCCCAGCTAACACATCAACAACCAACTACTTGGACCACTGTAACTGCAATCCCAACAACTAACATCATTTCCAGTGGTGGAAAGGGACAATAACAGCTATCGCTGTAAAACGCAGCATCAAGAAAGTGCCAGAGGCTATTTCTCACATGAAAAGTAACATTGAACGCTGTATTAATTATAGCCGTCCAAGTGAAACAAGCTCTGTGCGAGTCTAAGCTGCTAACCCAAGACGAGAAAATCCCAAGTAGTTCAGAGGTTGCGGCTGTTACCAAGATCTACTTTCTATCAGATTCATTAAAAAAACAAAAATATTATTAGGCGAGGAAGCAAAGCAAAAAAAAAAAAGAGTGGATTCAATTTTTTTTTTTGTAATCTCCTTTATTATCATTAGTTATACGCATGTATAAACAGCGCTCAGCCGAACCGTTAGACGGTGTATAAGGCGGCACCAAGCCCTCTAAGGGCAGTTGCTGTCGGAGATGTTGAACTTCGGGGTTGCACCGCAGAGGAGATCAAAGATGAAATCACAGCACACCGCGTGATTTCCCAGTTGACTTTTAGGGATCAGGAGGGCACATGCCCCATCTGCAGGGTTCAAAAATGGGTCAGCTAGTGAACGTTATGCATACCACAACGTCCCTTACAGTTCTAAAGTACCTCACCTGAAAGATGTCTGATCAGTTATAGTTAATCCATATAAATATAATCAGGCTTATTTACATATCACAAAAAAGGAAATGTAAAGAAATGTAGAAACTGGAGAAAATCCCGTTAAATTAACTATTTGTCCCATCAATCGCAAAAGGTTTCCACAATGCATACATATAATTAATCAAGGTCGTTTTTAGTAGCTTCATATTTAGAGCATGGTCCCTTGATAGCTCTAGTAAAAAGTCATCCGTCACGTTGTGGGAGAGGTTTCATTAGGGAGAAACATGGCCATTAGAGGCGCACTGCGCTCAGTAGGACCGAAGGTATACCAATGAACACGCGGATGTCCAGCGGCAACATTCATTCATTGGTTTATGAAGTTAATCATCGGCGTCTGTTTTTCGCCTTCTCCGGAAATCTTATACTCTCCTCACGGCATCAACCATGAATATGCCACTGACGTCAGAGCTGTTTGGAAGCCGAAACGTTCGGAGCACATCGAGAGATGGGCGTGTCTACCTGAAGTGGCGGGATCGCCCCCTGTCGAAGACAGAAGTCCAGAGAGCGAATTACAGCAGAGCGGTTCATAAGATACCTCACTTAAATACTCATAAGATACCTCACTTAAAGTAAATGTTACCGCTATCAGTAGCGTAGGAACAAGGCGGGAAAGGGGGGAGGTGATAGGCCGCCCCCTACCTCTAGGTATTTAAAAAATGTAATACAAACAATACGGCGCAGTCGCCCCCCCCCCCCCCCCCCCCCCTTTTCGCCTCCCCCATCTCCCAAATATTTCCGACACCTCTGACCGCTATGCAGACAGGTGCACACGCGGACAGTTATCTGAATGTATACATTGTAATTTTGGTAGCCCGTAACTTCCCAGTCAGCACAGATATTTCCGAACCGCTTTTCAGTGTGATCCGGTAACCGTGATATACAAGTGCGATTTTCTCAGGTACTCGTTCAGCATGAAATATCAAATTTCAGTTTCTCTCTTGTGCTTGTTCTTTTCATATGTAGCTTCTGATTCGGTCATTCCTTCGACTTCGGGTCGGGTTCAACATCCCGGCAGGATATGACCGCTTGAGGTGCACAATAATTAGCACGGAATTGCACTAGTACAAGAAAATTCTTAATACTTACGTTGAATAAAACTATTAAATGCAGCAAGCGAGTTGTATTTTTTTCTTTTAATTTTCTAAAAGTTCGTAACTGATCATGTCAATGATTCCCGCAAAAAGTATTGTAGACCTCTGAGCACCCTGCAGAACGACTACGAAGATGAAAGACAGTGTTATACGGGCAGCGTAATGCTGTTCAAAAAAGGAATAACAACTCGGGTACCTAATACTAAATAAAAGAAAAGAAAAGGTCTTACCTCCTGCGTATGGCATGCGGAGTACATCGCACTTCTCGACGTCTTTGTACGCTGAGTAAGTCGGCACGGAGATATCCTCTGGGAAATTACACAAAAGGAAATGTCATCGCAAGTTCCCGTTAATAATGTATTTCTATTCACCTGGAGCACCGAACAAAAATTAAAAAAATTAAAGGTCGATAGGAACATGCCAAGTAAAGTATGTGACATATAATCACAGTTGGATATTCAATCTTCTTTATTTAAGTAAACTTAAGTGAATAACTGAAACATGCTTTATTAGAATATCTCGTATTCTGGGATGATTTACGGCGTTATTTTCTGGGCTTATTATGCACTTCTATTTGAAAGAATGTCAAGGGTTAGTCTCTGCCCATAAATTCATTAAATACTTCATGCGCGATCTTTAAGGACAAGAATATATTTTTTTCTTTTTTTAATTCAGGCTATCGAGTCTTGTTTAAGGTCCAATGGTGTAGATATATTAATTTCAAGCCTACAATCAAAACAATGACATTTTGGCTCGTACACACGGGGCTTCTATATTTTAGTTGTTTCTACTTCTGACGAAAGTCCCAAGTCCAACGCTACTCCATGCACTAGATGTGACTTCCCAAAGAGTCCTAAGTTTTGCTCTCTTTAAAAAGTTTGCTTTTCAGAGAATGATTTCTTTCTATGAACATTTTTATACAAACAACTAGCCCTTTAGTTCGCAATGATAGTCCTCGTTGAAGATGGGACTTGAAGAAAATAATACTCACGATCTTGAGGTTGAAAGTTCAATATGTTTTTGAGTGTATATCCCTGAGATAAGCTGAGAGTCACTGTTATATTACTGGAATATAAAGCACCAACGCTCTCGTAAGTAATTTAACTTGATCTTGCGAAGTAATCAGACGTTCTCTTTTTAGCTTTTTAACTCAGACCACACTTTCAAATGGACTGCCCATAGCCAAAAAGAATCAAACTACACCCAATGTTGTGTCTAAAATAGGAATAAGTTAAATACTGAAAGACGTTTACAACTTTTTGTAACGCCGATTTAGAGTGCAGCTCTTGAGGAGGAGAGGAGGCTATTGAGGAGAGGGTATGCCCCTCCTCCTCATTCGTACCCTCTCTTCCTCTCCTTCTCCCTATTTCACGCGCGAAACGCGCGTCGTCGCGCTACGATTCGGCGCGGTGCCCAAATATCACGTGAAGTTTTGGTGGAAGTCACGGTGGCGTCTCGGCACGTGACTTCAACCGAAACGTCACCGTGCCGAAACCTCGCGAGCGGCGTTTCGGCACCGCGAAGAAACGTCGCGTGAAGATTCGGCGCGGTGCATTATGGGACGCTTCCCATAATGCACCGCGTGGTTACACCGATGGCGAAGGCGACGCCGACGGCGCCGCCGCTGAAGCCGGAAACGGGCGCCTAAGAGCTGCGCTCTAAAATGTTGCAGAAATTTAGACTTTTATCCCAACTTCTCGGGTTTTTGTTGTTCCTACTTGCCCCGGATAACGTCACGAGCACCAGTTCAGCACTCCCGCAACTCACACGACTCTCCGCGCATACTTTTGCGCCGGCCCTTAATCAGCGGCCGAGGGCCGCTCGCCTGGCGATTGCACTTCGCCGCCTCGCGCTGAAAATGGCTAAAGACGGTTTGGCACGTGCGAGCAACCTGGTCGAACGCTTTGTGCACACGAGAGTGCCCACATTCGGTTGAGGTTCGAACATTAAGACAAACGATATCTTAGACGAGTTATAGATTTTACACCGGAGCCCATATATGTCGGTCTGGAAGAAAGAAGGCAACGCAAACCCCTGTTGCGTCTCACGTGTTAGTGATGTCCACTTGAATTGGTGCACTCTAAACACCCGAAGTGACAAGTACGTCGCTGAAAACTGCTAGAGCGCTACTATTAAAGAGGTGGGGTAGCCGGAACCGTGAAACGCGATTGCAGTTTAATGGCGGACGGCTCCTGCACAAATGGGCTTCTCATGCGCAAACGTGCACTGCTGAGTGGCGACGAGGGTAGCGGACAGAGAGGTTAAGCCAAGCTTGGAGACGCTTGTAGACTGGAGAGCCTAGACTGTGCAGAAGGTCCATCTCAAACCATGGGGATTGTTTGCAATTTAATGGCGGACAACCCTCCCTCCGCGCCGATTAGCCGCAAATGCTTTGAGCTGCGTTGTCGTGTGGCGAGGAGGAAGGCAGGCGGAAAGGCAGGGACGCTCGCAGACGATCAACGCGTTCGTCACCTCCCCGCGGCTCGTACTGCAAACGCGGCCCATTAACCCCGTGACCTTGATCGAGCAGTTAGACGCTCTCTGTAATACAGTCTCTCTATGGCAGACGATTGACACCATCACGTCCACCTCGTATCCTGTACTGCAAGCGCTGCCTACGAACCACGTGACCTCAATCAATTACCTGGAAACAAAACACTTAAATCGCGGCTACCGTTGTTGTGGGGAGCGAAATACGAACGACCGCAATATCTTTTTGTTACTAGCGGTTATCAACATTTACACGTCGTTTTTGTATTAAATCATTTTTTTTCATCTTTCATTAGTATTACAGTAATCACCCTCACTTTAAAACCACAGCAGGCGAGACTGAAAAAAAAAACATCTCTCAATAAACTGCAAGTTGGTATTAGCCATTGTGGTTCCACATTATAAAGCAACACCGATTTTCAAAAAATCAAAACAAATTTGAAAGAAGGTTGTTAATTTAAGATGCATGCTCACGTTGAGAAGCTTGGATCATACTCGACAATGATTGGGTAAGCGCCATTTTGTCCGGGATCAGTCTCTCGGAATCTGACACATTTAGCCATGTCACCAAAAAACGGATCTGTCTTGTAGTTTCTGTACACCATGTACCATGTCTCTTCGAGAGGAAAGTACTGCAATGTGGAATCGTGGTCAAAATAAAAAGACTTATGTACACTTTGTGATGGTTTTGGACAGGCACTTTTCTGGCCAAGTCTAGGGCACAGTAACTAAAGGTGGACATACTAGAGAATATTGCCAAATATATTCTTGCTTACATTGCTTTCTCTTAACTTACCGGAGATTCATTCTGGTACTCTTCAAGCGCCGGGTTTTGTTCAGGGTATGAAATGGTTGCGTAGGTGTTATGAGGTACGAGGAGAGCCGTTATGGCGAGCAGAGCAAAAACCATCGTTCTGAATGGTTGATATTCTTCTACCGAACTTGAATCTCTGTTTACAACGGTTAAGTGTCAGCTTTCACCTCACTGGATTTTATACGCCTCGCTAGTGGGCTCATTTTCGTTTTCTGCGCATGGGAAAGGAGGAGCGAAGACGGAAGAGCAGGTGGGGGACAATTTTGACTAAGCTCCTCCCCCGCACATGACGGGAAGTCGGCTTTGGGTAAACAACATCGGCGTCGGTAATGACGGCAATGCCGTTGCGGCGACCGTGAGTTCTTTTTTTAGAGCGCAGCTCTTCGCGCTCGTTCGCGTGTTTTGTGGCGTCGGCGTAACCAGAGCAGAGTGGGAGGGTACTCAGGAGGAGGAGGAAAGGAAGAGGAGAGGTGAGTCGTCTATATTATTTGTACATATATATATATATATATATACATCCTTCTCAAATTCTTTAGAACGGTATATCGCAAAATCAAAATACCTCAATTGCTGCGCTTTGACTTCGCAGCACAGAGCTCTGTAAACGTCTTTAATTTTATTATTGTAGCGCTGTCAATATTTTCTGAGTTCACAAGAACGAGATGCTTTGTTGCTTTGTGATTCTTACGATTCCTCCGTCGTCTGCTCGAGGTATTTCGAGGATTCCAAGATAAAAACAAAGAAGACCACAAAAAGAAGGCGCGTCTCCAGCCTCGCGATTGAAACACCGGTCTCCACACTGTTAGGAAAAATGGTGTATTTATTTATTTATTTATTTATTTATTTATTTGCACAAATACCTGCGTTAGGCATTATGCAAGGGGGAACAAAAGAAAAATGCATTCAAAATACATTTTTAGTAATGCAATAGACAATCATTCAGTACTACATGTTCACTTGAGCACGCTTCTCTGCAGTCTGTCATAAAAGACGTCATTATTGATAACAGTTATCAGTTCTTCCGGAAGGGCATTCCACTCCCGAGCGGTTTGAACAAAAATGGATAACCAAAACAGTCAGTACGATAACGATGCTCTGCCGCCATCTTAGAATGATTTCGCCTTGAAGATACATGGTGTGGTTCGAAAAGGTAAAGACCCTTTTCAATGCCTGTTTCCCCATGATTTATATTGTGGAAACATTTTAACCGCATACACTTTCTCCGAAGTCCACGAAAGTCCCAACCCAGTCTGTTCTTCATTCTGTACAGCTTGAGTACAGACTATATTCGCATGTGACAAACCTTAATGTCTGATTTTGAATTCTCTAACTTATTCGCTAGGTAACACTGAGGCGGATCCCAGATAACACAGGCATACTCCAAAATTGGTCTAATAAAAGAAAAATATAAGGTGTGTCTTACTCTACGAGATTTATTCTTAAAATTCCTCCGAATAGAAAAAAAACATCCTACTTGCCTTTGCTACAATATTATCTATATGGTCATTCCATTTTAGATCAATGGAAAAATTGATTTCCAAATACCTGTGTCTATATACCTGCTAAAGTTCATCAATTTTTATCTTATATGTAGCCGTGCTAACTATAGATCGTGTAAAACACATGTATTTGCACTTTTCTATATTCAAGCCCATTTCCCAATGATCGCACCAGCGTTCTAACATTTCTAATTTTTTTTTGCATCATACAGACGTCTGCGTCATTTTCTATAACTCTGTATAATACACAATCCTCAGAAAATAACTTGATATTTGACTGTATTCCCTTGTAAATGTCGTTAATAAATATAAGAAATAACAAGGGCCCCAGTACACTTCCCTGGGGCACCCCCGAAGTTACAAGCACGGGTGAAGATTTTTGACCATTTAGTACAACACTTTGTTCTCGCCCAGATAAATACTCAGCAACCCAATTTATAATATTTTCATTGATTCCAATTAATGTAAGCTTATTCAATAACAAATAATGTGGCACCGTGTTAGAAGCTTTACAGAAATCCAAGAATATACAATCTACTCGTTTTTTGTTGTCAATGGCATTTGAAAGGTAATGTGTAAATACAGCTAACTGAGTTACACACGAATAACCTCGACGGAAACCATGTTGGGAAAGAGAAAAAAGATTACTGGAACTTAGAAAGTGAAATATTGAGCTATATATTATATGCTCTAAGAGTTTGCACGCGACACATGTCAGAGACACTGGACGGTAGTTTTCAACAAGCTGTCTTGACCCTAACTGAAAAAATTAGATTTACGTTTGCTTTTTTCCAACCATCGGGAATTATGCCAGTTTTTAGTGATTTTATAAAAATTATATGTAAGTATCTTGCAATTTCTTCCCTACATTTGTGAAAAATCACGGGCGAGAGCTCATCTCGTCCATATGCCTTTGAAGTATCTAGGTCTCTTAAAAGTGCTATAATCCCGTCCATTCCTATTATCAATTCTGGCATAACGGTTCTTGCTATTCTATCAGACACAGAAGGAATAATTCCAAGAGCGCGGGATGAAAAACTTCTTTAAAGTATGTGCTAAACATCCCGCGTTTTCAATATAACTGTTGACTAAGTTGCCATCCTTCGGTAAACCAGGAATTGAAGTATCTTCTTTACTATTTACCTTGAGGAATATCCAGAATTCAGTAGGATCATTTCTTAATTTGTTTTCAAAAGACTTGTAGAAAATTAGTTTGCTTTCTTGGATATCTTATGTAAGATTTGCGGTTATCTCCTCAAGTTTTTGTTTTAACATATCGGACGGATTTTTTCTGTATTATTAGTAAACCCGACTTTTACGTTTTATTTTATTTCGAATTGTAGCATTTATCTTTGGTTTATGTTTATTTTTTTCCCTAATAGTCCTGGATGATATGTGAGAATCAGCGAGCACCTTAAGTTTATGCTTAAAAGTTTTTCATTATTCTTTAACGTCGCACTCTTTACTGAGATCTGAAAAGTAAGGGCGCGCAGCTGGCCAAGTAGGCAACGCGCGTGGCAATATGCCAAGAGCTCTAACGAAATACTTTCGTAATTATTGTTGACGATTGGGCTAGTTGGTCATTCATATTAGCGGAAAACAAACAGCGCAAGGACAAGGACAGAGTAGAAGGCGGTAGACACACACAGCGCTGTGTGTGTCTACCGCCTTCTACTCTGTCCTTGTCCTTGCGCTGTTTGTTTTTCGTAATTACCCTGTGCGTACATCATTACATTGCTTGGAGGCTTTGACGTCCTGTTTACTTTATTCAAAGGTAATTCACATACAACTGCACTGTGATCACTTATAAAAGGAATTATGAAGATATTTGAAATGATACTAGGGTTATTCGTCAGTAACAAATCTAGAATACAGTTTTTTCTTGTTGGTGAGAGTACGAATTGGTTTAGAGCAAATTAAATAAAGAGGTTATTAAAAAAATTATACAAGGTAGAACTGTCATCACAAGTATACGTAGTGCCTGTCCAATTGATATTGGGAAGATTAAAGTCCCCTCCTGGCAACAACAGAACTATCAGAAAAAGTGGATAGTGTTCGACCAAATTCATCGATATTATTTACTGTTGGGGGACGATAGTAAGTGCCTAATACAAGGGTGCCTTCTTTGGGCAACTGGACGCGGCACCACACTCTAAAAAAAGCCTGTGCGTCTGCTTTCCCGCACAACACTCGGGGAGCCAATCACCGCAACTTACGGAGGGAACTCAGCGAATGAGAATGCCGAAACATATGTTTAGACCAAAAAACGCAGTCTGAGTCCTGGCATTAAGCAATTCAAGCGTGACGTTTTGCATTGCTTAATGTCACAACTCAGACTGCGTTTTTTGGTCTAAACATATGTTTCGGCATTGCCATTCGCTGAGCTGCCTCCGTAAGTTGCGGTGATTGGCTCTCCGAGGATTGTGCGTGAAAGGTGACACACAAACTTTTTTTAGAGTGCAAAAAGATTCATTATCTTTTGGCGAAACTAGAAGCTCACTGCTTGCCCACCGTGAGTCTATCAATAAAAATACCCCACCGCCATGCGCATTGCGATCATTACGATAGACTGCAAGGTGCGTAGGAAATACTTTGCTATTAAGCACAAAGTCATCGAGCCACGACTCAGTGCCCATAACTACGCATGGCTGTATTGCCACCACTAAGCAGAAAAACTCGTCTACTTTATTTTTAAGACTCCGGCAGTTTATCAACATAACTGTCGGGCGAGTACTTGAAGATATTGAAACATTATCAGAACTCGTATGAGCGAAAGGGCTATGCCATTCTTGTGATCTTACATGTCTGTTGTCAAGCGCCAGGACCGCCTTCTTTTGCTCAGTATCCCAGATATACGGTTCCTTATTCACGATCAGCTTATCATACAACAGAAAGACTTTGTTAGCCTTCTTTAACCTTTTTTTCTTTAAAAAAAATCCCATAACATAGTCTTTTATCTTGAAGTGCTTTGCTAAAATCCTGTGAGACAGTGAAGTTGGTATTTTAAAATTTGAACCCCGAGTGCAATATACTTTCTTTTTCATTCCACGACACAAAAGGCTACGCCAGGTTTCAGAGCAACATAACTGCTGAGTATCTTAGAGTCACTCTTTCTCCTGGATCACGCGGGTCTCACAGATATCGCCAAAGGGCGCTCCGACTACATGGCGCCCGGGTTTTAGAACAATATAGCCTCCGAAAGTCTTAGAGTCACTTGTCTACCCAGATACTGTCACAGTACGCCTCAGACCGCGTAGCGCCGACCACCATGAAAGCAAAAACTAGTGTCGTTCATGGAAAACAACGACAGGCTGCAGGAGTACGTTGGAATCAAGCAGATACAAATATTTTCCGAAGAAAACCCTCCGCGCCCAGTGTAGTACCCACCGTGAATACAGCTTGCGCGTCAACAGTATGCAAACTGCTTCTCGACGCCGACGGTTGCGCGGCCCGGCTCCCTGAGCCCGTCAGTAGCAGTACCAGCTACTTATCTACGTTATTGGCGGGCGTAGCGTGTGACCCTAACTGAGTGTCCGCGACTACTCAGAGTCAAAGAAACACGCGCATATTTACATTCCCAGATTGTACTGCTGATCTTTC